ATGAAGCTGTGCATAAAAGATGAAATATCTAGATAATTGAACTTATTTCATTCGAAGGCTTAAAATCATCATTATATACGAATCTCAAGCATGTGTATGATTAATTAGTTCACACGAAAAATAACAGCTGTTTGTATTGTGCCTTGTTGTAGCGACTTATAAAAATCCTCGTTTGCACATTATCAAACTATCTGGAAAGCTGAATGGTCCGAATCATATGTTTCTGACGCCATAACAGCATCTTTCAAGCCGTTATATCCCGTTCATAAACCTATCAAGTTATATATGCTACGCGTCAAACCAGATGTCATTTGAAGATACAAATTCCTCCATATTGCCGACATGTGTGACTTGCAAGCCATTCAAAAACGACAGTTGGTTAGGTAATATTTTAGACTTAAAATATTTCACCATTTTTGTCATTATACGCCTTATCACATCCTATAACATGATTAGAGTTTCTGCAGAAACATCAACAGGATACCGACCAATTTCACTATCTTTGGAAATTTTCGAGGAACTTTGAGTAAGTTTTGTGGTTTCTCCATTGTCGTAAGAAATGTGGTAGTTCCTCTAAAGTTCGGGGAAATTTTAGGGAAAAACCACGAAGTGTCATAGGATTCTGGGGGAGTTTTCGGGGTTTTGTGCTAGCTTCCCAAAGATTTCTGTAGCGGTTTCCCCACAATTTACTCAAACAGGACAACATTTTCCCTAAAATACGGAGATATCTTTCAATATTGGGTGAGAATTCTGCAGAATGGTTGAAGATTAAATAGTGTAACCCATTATTGGGTACCATCTTCGTTGGTGAAGGGTTATTCGCAGAAACAAGATCTGAACGGAAACACGAACTGAAAAACCATTACAGATGAGTAGAACAAGATTTTAAATAAACTACAGCTACTTAGCCTTGAGATGTGATGACCTCGTCGCCTACATCGTTTAAACTTTGTTTGGTTGAATTCTGCAACTACAAGTTCCTAATGTAAACTTACAACCTCTTCTTGAACGATTGAGTAAGACCTACTGTTTTTCAATTCTTGTAAGCCTTTCAATCTGCACTAACACCTCATTATCGTACTGCATCATTTATGTCAATTAATGATTATGTGAAGATATGTATGACAAGCTTATTTTGTAAATAGTTTTTAATGTTATTTGTATTTATTTGGTCGATTTTCCACTGCATGTACATTTATCATTAAATGATTGTTCCTGTTGTTTAAGTGTATGACCTTGAACACCTTTCCGTTGTGTTGCACACATAGCATGACACTTTGTTGACCGCTAACAAATATATTGTTCAGCACATACCTCTCGTTCTACATTCACTTGTGGTTGTGTTAACTGAAGACTAAATCAAACACCATCTACCTTTACAGACTGTAATTAGTATATGCCATATACTACGTTGGGTCATATAATTGGGGAATTCATCAAATTTACTGGAATTATCAACCGTCTATAGTTGTGGATATTTAGTACCAGATCAAATTAGGACACGCACTATCCTGGTGAACGAAGTAATTTTCCTTATTTCTATTATGTTTATAACATTTAACTTATATATATATAAATATTATTATTTGTCAATAATAACTCTGTTATTATCTTTTGGATTAACATGTTGTCTGGTCCATCAAAATTCCCTTGTAACTGTTTCGGTGCGTTGTTTAAAGTTCTAAAATACAATACCCCCAAACGCTTACACTGATTTATCTCTGGCTCATATACTGGTCTATTTTTGACACTTGAAGTAAGAACCGGACGCTTCCAGGATTTACCAGTTCGTACGGCAAATTCAAGTACTTCGAATAATCATTCATGTTCTATCAAATGCTTCTTTACTGTCCTTTTCAGAATATAGAGCTTCTTGGTAAAGTGTGTAGGTTAGGAGCTGTATTTCTCATATTATTAGGTATAATAATGTAGGAGCTTCTTGCCATATGAGGTCTTCATTAAATTATAAAAACAGTTTTTAGTAGTTCGAGTATACTTATCTGATATCCTGGGACGAAACACTTAGACACAGAATGCACTGTTGGTTCCAGAATGCTTATGGGAAAAAACCCATACGGTAAGACGATGTGCGACGCTGATACTGCTTTTGTGGTATAGACGGTGTCGTTTAAGTTGTTAACAAATCATCCGAATGAATATAGTTGTAAGTCTTCGATGGCTACTATGATCGCACTAGTTATAATGGAGACACCTTTAGTTGTGGGCATCCAATCAACCATTTGCAACGAAATCACGTTCGGATCACCGATGAAAATGTTGTGGATATCCAGCATTTCGAAAGTTACCGTCTGAAATTCCTTTTAACAAAACGACTTCAAATCCAGGCAAACCAGAGGTGCCTAATGAAAAGTTTAGGAGATATATTTGAACGGTGTGTCAAAGTGTATATCGATTCCAAACTCTGCCATATACCGCTCTTGAACCACCGTCGATTAATGCAACCAACGTGTGAGACTAGAATATCAAGGAATTGTAATTTCAATTCTGGCACCAAAATTTACTTGTAATTCATTAATAATCAACTCAAATACATCTCTCTTTAGTTTTTATGTTCCAGCAGCTGATGAAGCTGCTGTTTTTATTCCTTTCACCTTCTAATTGAGCTTTCTAATGTAATGAAACTTTAAGAAATGAACAGTCGAGATAATAAAGCTCAATCGAGTTTGTAAAATAGGCGTACATGACAACCGTCTCCAGGTAGTAGTGGTACTTTGCTTAGAGTATGTTCTTAGTGTAACTTATACACATGTTCACAATATTCATCTATTTGTTGTCATTACTTTCATGTCAGCAGGTTCTTTACTGAAAACAAAAGATGAGCTCAAATGTAGAAATTTATAAGGCCGCCAAGCGAGGTTGATAATTAAGCCCACATCAACATAGTTGAATAAAAGACCAGTGTGAGTGCATGGAATTCAGAACCCTTAGTCAGAGTTTTGAGACTAGCATTTTTTATTACAAGAGCGGCATGGGTGCCACAGACTTCTACTGTTATGCGTATTTGTAGAATTATGGTCTACTATGATATCAGCACTGCTCTCATAGTAGACCTAATCCTAAAATTGCAGATTTGTCATGATGCAACTGCCTAATCTATAAGATTTTACACGGAAGTCACATCGTTGTTTACACTGTCTCACGGTATCATAACAATTAACATTATATGATGGAGAACACATTCAGGATGGAGATGGAGCAATATATTTAATATGAGTAAAAGCAAGTTGTACAGATAGACCACGCCTGAGAGACTGAGCCATGCCATCAAATCAATTCGAATTCCTTCCATTCATTGTTCCCGCCTCATCCATCGTTGTGTTTTTCTCCGCGTTAAATGTTGAACATCGACTTTACCAAGTGTCTCGAGTTCAGCTTTGAGGATTGTGTTCTTGAGGTCCAACAATGCGAGATGAGTGTTCAGTCACTTTAACGAATAAAATTCTAAAATTTGGCCTAAGATCAAAGAATTTACGAACAAAAATTTATCCAATTAAACCAAGCTACATTCCTTTGCTTTGTGCACAAAGCATTTTCAGGTACTTGTATTAAATTATTTCAGAACACAAATTTATTGCTTAACTTAATCAGTCCTAAATTAACAATGCGAATAGATTATGTTATGAGTTAAAAATACCTCAGCTTTCTCTGTACAATCAAAATTTTCCCAAGTACAAACAGTACGGCAAAAGACGAAACAAACGGTTTATGAATAAACGTTCGAGAGAGAGTAATGTCAATAAAATACGATTGAATATCTATCTTTGAGGATTAGATCAACTGATCGATTCTAAAGAAGCGACTTACATTAGGTCACGAAACCTCAAAAATAGGATTTCTTACACGCTGGGCTATCACAGAAATATATGTGTCAGTACCTTTTTATCTGATGCTCCGTTTATTTGAAACCATCGAATCCGACCATTGATTTCCATGATTCACGTGACTGTTTCCGTTTGGCCATTAAATGTCAGCACTGATCAAGCACTCCTTACTTACTTACTTACTTACTTGCTTACGCCTGTTGCTCCCAATGGAGCAGAGGCCGCCGACCAGCATTCTTAAACCCATTCTGTCCTAGGCCTTCTTTTCTAGTTCCATCCAATTCTTGTTCATTTTTCTCATATCTATCTCCGTTTCTCGGCGTAATGTGTACTTTGATCTTCCTCTCCTCCTTCGGCCTTGAGGATTCCATGTGAGGTCTTGTCTTGTGACGCAGTTGAGTGTTTTCTTCAATGTGTGTCCTATTCACTTCCAGCGCTTCTTCCTGATTTCTTTCTCCACTGGGATCTGATTTGTTCTCTCCCACAGTAGGTTGTTGCTAATAGTGTCCGGCCAGCGGATCTGAAGTATTTTGCGTAGACAACTGTTAATAAACACCTGTATCTTTTGGATGATGGCTTTCGTAGTTTTCAAGGTTTTCGCACCATACAGTAGAACTGTCATCACCCAACTGCTCTATATGTATCCCAGCAACAGTGAACAGGTCCTCCCCGCTGATACCATATAACTTGCCTTCAACACCAAGTTACAAAATGGGTAGTGGGCTACAGCGTAACAAGCCTTTTTACACGCAGACTAACAAAAACTACCAGAGTACTGATCAATCCAAGAACCCCCTAAAGCTTAAAACCATTAATAAGAATGGTAATAATAGGTTTCTCACTTCACACCCTATTTACATTCCCCAGGATCATAATTGTAACTACTCTCAGAAAAAAAACTTTTCACACCCTTTAGTACCAACCCACCACATAGAAACGACTCTCACGTACAATAAAAGTCGCAACTCCCTCCAGTTACGCGCAGCAGACCCCTCTCACGCTAGCGTAAATAGTTATAACAGAGGCTACGCGCCTAACCACCAAGGCTATTTTGCAAACAACCATACACTTCACAGTAGGCCTGTACAAGATTTTTTTGGAATACGACCACTAGTGACACCTCTGTTGAAGCATATAGCTCAAGTTATTTCAAACCACATGCAAAACATAAACGCGTTTCCCCCGTACAGTTTCCATCAGAGAATACTCCCGCCCTTTCCTCCTGGGTAAACTCCCAATCAACTTCACTAGCTCATTTGATACATCCCCCACTAAGTCTAGCTATCAAAATACCGAGCTATTGAAGAACATTCAATCCCTTATTTTAAACCCATATCACACCCGCGAGGGTTATAACGACTTTATTCGAGATACTCTCACTCATTTTAACCTAGTAGGCCATTTGTTTAATATATGTCTCATCAACGCTAGGTCGATCTGCAATAAAAAGACGGATTTGGCCATGTTTGTATCCCTATATCAACCATCACTTATTATGATATCTGAAGCATGGACTAACAGCAATATTTCCGATCTAAGTATGTCTCTTGACAACTATTTCCTATACAGAAGTGATAGATTGAAGGGACGAGGCGGAGGATGCCTGATTTACGCTCACTCTAGCCTAAACTCACTACTATGCGATATGCCTGAACTAAACAAACTGAAGGATTCGGTGTGGATTGTATTAAAGCGGTCGAATTCCGTTACCTTACTGTTCGGCTGTGTTTACCGTCAACCTAACGCATCAATAGATGACATAGCAATAGTATCGGAGGTGTTCACACTAGCATCATCTCTTCCATTCACAGGCAAGCTTATTAGTGGTGACTTCAACATGCCCGAAATTTCCTGGTTCCCAGTCAAGGCGCCGAAGCGTTATGAATCATTTATAGAATGTCTAGAGCTCGGACAATGGACTCAGTATGTCAATAGCCCTACCAGACATCAAAATATCTTGGACTTAGTCTTTACCAGTGGCCTCACCCCCAATACTGTGTATAATGGAAAAACGTTTCCAGGTAGTGATCATAACATTGTCATAGGCAGCCTTAATATAAAAACCACAACCGGTAGACGTAAAACCGCAACACTTCGTAGAAACTATCGCAAGGTTGATTGGAATAACTTCCACAATCACCTAAGAAGCACTGACTGGGGAACTTTCTTTACTGCAAACAATGCCGACACACTAACCAATACATTTTATCTCAACATCAGAAGTATCATCAACAAAATCGCACCTTTAGAATACTATCGACCTACGGTCTCCAAAGATCTTTATATACCGGTCGGTACACGAAAACGTCTACAAAGACATTGTATTCGATTCCACAACTTTAATGACTTTTCCTCTTTGGTGACGATGACTGAAATAGTTATCCGAACAGAGGCAATAAGTACACAAAAAGCAGTCGCACAGGAAAAACGTGCAGTCGAACTTAACAATAACTCTTCTTCACTCACCCTACTCCTTCAAAATAAACTTAAACGTTCCAAATCGAGAGGGAACATATTCATTAAAGACAAACAAGTATACGAAGACCCTAAACTTGTTGCGGAACTATTTAGTGAACACTTTTGTTGCTCACTAACTAACGAAAAACCACTAAACGATTCAGAACCAATCCCAGTACCTCCTTTTGAAATTACTAATGTAAATTTTAATGTACAAAATATCTCTAAGGCAATTAGTACATTGAAACACTCATACACTGATGGACCAGATGGCATTCCAGCTAGCATGCTAAAACGTGGAGGTGATGATATGTGTGTTTTGCTTCTCAAACTATTTGCGATATCACTCTCTACAGCGTGCTACCCTACTGCCATGAAAACTACACATATCATTCCGAAAATTAAAACTGGACCTGAAGCAAATGTTGACAATTACCGACCCATAAACATAACTTCAGGGGTATCTAGAGTGATGGAAAAAGTAGTTAAGGCGGCTGTAGTCCAACATCTACTTACTAATAATCTCATCTCGATCTCCCAGCATGGATTTCTTAGGTCAAGATCATGCGATACATGCCTAGTAGACTACCTGAATGATATAACTCTGAAAAAAGACAACGGACTCCTTGTATCAGTCATATTCTTAGACTTTAAGAAAGCCTTTGATAAGGTCCCACATAAAAAACTGCTCGTCAAATTAAAGTCCTTCGGAATAAACGACCCACTGTACTCGTGGTTTGCTTCGTTCTTAGCAGTACGTAAACAGATGGTAAAGTACAATGACTGTCTCTCATCACCTAAACCAATAACTAGTGGAGTCATCCAGGAAAGCGTTTTAGGCTCACTCTTGTTTCTTATGTATATAAACGATACATGTAACACCATAACATTTGAGAAACCATACTTGCATGCTGATGATCTCAAAATAGTATACAGTTATAAGCCTGAGACTCTAAACGAAAGTGTACCCCTGATCTAAAACGACCTCAATAACTTAACTATCTTGAGTGAAAAATGGAAATTACCATTCTACCTCAACAAAAGCGAGATCATGCAGTTTGGAAAGCATCCCCATAAACTGCAACTTCATTTAAATAAAAGTGGAGTCCAGACACTGAAATCAGCGCACGATCTAGGTATTAATTACACAAAACGTCTGAACTTTGAAGAACATACCTCATCTATTATATCTAAATGTAGACGGAAAATTAGTTTCATAATGAGAAATTTCTTCACAACAGAGGCTAAGCTTACTCTCTACAAAATATGTATACGACCTTCCCTGGAATACTGCTCTTTATCTTCTCTAAAATGAATACCACAGACAAGATAAGAGTAGAAGACGTTCAAAAACGCTTCACACGCCAACTGCTAGGAAGTAACTCGAGTGCCCATTGCACAGATAGATGTAAGCACCTCTCTTTAGAACTTTTATGCCACCGTAGGCTAAAGAATAATTTAAAATTTCTCTACAAAGCGATATACGGACTCTCATTTCTAACCTCGCGCCCAACTATGATTCACTACCCAGCCTATAGACTAAGAAACAACGCATATACACTACACACCGTAAAACACCGAAAACAAGTGCGTTGTAAGTTTTTTACAGTGCGATATAGTTTATTGTGGAACAGGTTGCCATTGCCTATCCGTAACTGTGATACATTCACCAGATTCAAAAGGCTAATAACCCTGTTTCTAGACTCTAAACAGCTTCAATCTTTCCTTGAACTCCCGCCCACCAATGAAGCACTTCATTATCGACCGCCTAATTTCTAAACTGAACAAGAATATAACGAACCCGACTATTACTAATATGAATACAACTAAATTACAGGACATATTGTTTGCCGTTTCCTATTATTCATTGTGCATTAATCCAGGCCTAATGCTCCTAACCCTCACTTTCAGTTCCCAAATCCCCCTACTGGTTAAATATACATTTTTCTTCCTAAGTGTCATGTCTTTTTTTTCTATTGCAAGTAGACAGATAACTCAGTAATCTTATGGATGCTGATCTGCTAAGGCCGATCATACGAAGCTCAAAATTGATCAGAAAATCTTGTGAGTTGCTCTGTGTTTTATTTTTCTTACCCTAAAAATTCTACAATTCTATACTCTTTCATATCATTTGATTTGCTACTAGTCCTACTATCTTTAAACCACATATAATCTAACCTGTTTTTTTCTATATTTCACCATTAGTTATCTTCATAGCAGTGTGATATACTAAATGGACATCTAACCCATAATACGAACGCTTTAACTACATGATTTGCTTGTAACATGGAACTAGTAGGGACAGTGTATTCCAACCATGTGCTTTGATTAAAGCAATATGCATACTTACCGCAAACGTAAGAGAGCCTAACATCACAAGAGGGAGGGTGGCGTTACTGACCAGCAAACATGATGGCGGGGAAATAACTTCAATCCACCCATGTCTGTAGGGCAGAACATTTTGTTAAGTCACGGCTCCTTATGGTCTAGTGGAATGTCACGAACTAGTGGTACTGATGCTGATTTATCGTGCAAAATACCTCATTAAACCGTGTTAAGAATGTTGAACTGGTTTAACTTCCTACCCAGTAATCCTATTACAAGCAAACTAGACAATTCGATAAAAAAAACGAAGCCTACTCAAGACCCTATAAAATCTAACAAAGGCTCCAATAGCGTCGACAAAAAAAAGGGAGACAGCCATTTGTGTATCGTAACACTGCTTTTAGCACTATATTTTACAACTACATATTCTCATACTCTCAGTTTCTTTCTGAACCACCTCCATTTGTCAGTTGATTATTCACTCATACCTTGTCTACAGTTATTTCTTTTAACCTATTAGGATGTTCCTGCTTACTAAATACTTTAATGAAAGAGAATCAGACTGAGTAGTCATACCTCAACCACTTCTTCATGAACATTGTCTTCTCTGCTTCTCGTCCTTTTTTTTGTTTACTTGCACCATTTTTCAGCCCCCTTGAGATACGGAACGGGTGACGCCGTCCTGCATCATCCTTAAAAACTAAAATATTCCAAAGGGATATAAGATTGCGATTTCTAGAAGTCCTCAACTGCACATGAATCTATTATCGACCGTCAGTTGCACGTCGCAACGCAACTCTCATGAAGCGCGCTAACTGTGATACTGACTAAAACCATACTACATTCATATCTTATAAATTATAGACCCAGCTGATTAATTTACTACAGTTGTAAATTGTATCATTTGTAACAATTTGATCTTGCCTGTAAACTGGCATGCCTCATGTAACAAAATGTTATTTGAGAATAAAATATTATTATTATTCTAATTCTTATTATTTGTATTGAAAATTCTGACTTCGATGTTGGTTGCCAATTGTTTTGAGTTCCAGATATTATTCAGTCGTAAATATGCTGCTCTTGCTTTGCCATCAGATCCACCGTGTGCATCAATGATGCTGCCCAAATATGTAAAGGTTTTTACATCTTCCAAAGCTTCTCCGTCAATTGTGATTGGATTGGTGCATGCTGTGTTGTACCGGAGAATCTTGCTTTTCCCTTTGTGTATATTGAGACCTATTGCTGCTGAGGCTGCAGCTACACTGGTTGTCTTCTCCTGCATTTGTTGTTGCGTATGCGATAGAAGAGCCAGATCATCTGCGAAGTCTAGATCATCCAATTGCATCCTGGCTGTCTACTGTATCCCGTGCTTCCCTTCAGATGTTGACGTCTTCAAGATCCAGTCGATCACCAGGAGAAAGAGAAAGGGTGAGAGTAAGAAACCTTGCCTGACACCGGTCTTTACTTCGAACGACTTTGTCAACTGTCCTCCATGCACGATTTTGCAGTTTAATCCATCATAGGAATTCTGTATGATATTGACTATCTTCTGAGGCACGCCGTAGTGTCGAAGAAGCTTCCATAGGGTTGTTCTGTCCACGCTATCAAATGCTTTCTTGTAGTCAATGAAGTTGATATAGAGTGATGAATTCCATTCAATTGGTTGTTCCACAATGATCCGTAGAGTTGCGATTTGGTCTGTGCACGATCTATCCTTACGGAATCCTGCCTGTTGGTCGCGAAGTTGGGCGTCTACGGAGTCCTTCATTCTGTTTAACAATACCCTGTTGAAGACGTTTCCTGGTATTGATAGAAGAGTAATTCCCCTGTAGTTGTCACAGTTGCTGAGATCGCCTTTCTTTGGTATTTTGACTAGAAGTCCTTCTTTCCAGTCTTTTGGTACCTGTTCCTTATCCCAGATCTTTCTGAAGAGAGTTTGAAGTATCCTTGCAGTTGCCGCTACATCTGCTTTCAGTGTCTCTGCTGGAATGTTGTCTGGTCCTGCTGCTTTGATACTCTTGATTTGTCTGATAGCCACACTGATCTCTTCAATTGTCGGTGGGCCAACATCGATTGGGAGTTCTGTGAGTGCTGCTTCGATGTTAGATGGGTTCAGTGGAGCTGATCGATTCAAAAGTTCTTTGAAGTGTTCTACTCACCTTTTTCGCTGTTCTTCAATGTTGGTGATTACCTTGCCTTACTTAGTTTTCACTGGTCGTTCTGGATTACGGTGATTTCCATAGAGTTTCTTTGTTGTGTCATACAGTTGTCTCATGTTTCCTTCTCTGGCAGCCTTTTCCGCCGTCAATGCCAAATCTTCCACACATTTACGTTTGTCAGTTCTGATGCTCCTCTTCACTTGCTTGTTTACTTCTGTGTATTCAGCTTGTGCCTTGGTTTTTTCTGCTCTTGTTCGACTGGTATTGATTGCTGCCTTCTTGTTCCTCCTTTCTCGAATCTTATCTAGAGTATCGATCGTGATCAAATCCTTGTGATGGTGCTTCTTGTGGCCCGGAACTTCATGACATGTTGAAGTGATTGCCTCTTTTATCCCTATCCAGATGCTCTCCATAGTAGTTCCTTCTCCATTGCATAGATCATAAGAGGCCTGGAACTTATTGCTGAGAGCTATCTTGAATTTGTTGAGTTTGTCAGTACCCCGAGGAAGAGCTGTAGTAAACTTTTGTCCGCCACATTGTCCGATGCTTCTTGAGTTTTAATTTCATCTTGGCGACCAGCGAGTGATGATCTGGTGCTATATCGGCTCCTCTCTTGGTTCTCACGTCCTACATCGTTCTCCTGAACTTTTTGTTGATGCAGATATGGTCGATTTGGTTCTGTGTGGTGTGATCAGATGAAGTTCATGTGGTTTTGTGTATGTGTTTATGTGGAAATATAGTGCCACCTATGATCAGTTTATTGAAGACACATAGGTTTGCAAATCTCTCACCATTTTCGTTCCTTTCTCCTAGTCATTCCATGTCGTCCCATGATGTCTTCATATCCGGTGTTGTCCATTCCAACCTTGGCACTTAAATATCCCATCAGAATGGTCAGGTCCTTTGTTGGGCACTTCTCGACGATTGACTGCAGCCTATCGTAGAATTGATCTTTAGCGTCTTCATTGTAGTCGTTGGTAGGCGCGTAGCATTGGATGACGTTCATTGTAATCCCCGTTTTCTTTGTTTTGAAGGAGGCTTTGATGATCCTTGGTCCATGAGATTCCCATCCTATAAGTGCATTTTGTGCTTGTTTGGACAGCATCAATGCAACTCCTTGTGTATGTGGGGCATTTTCTTGTTCATGTTCGGAGTGTAACAGCAGCTCCCCTGGAGCTAGTCGTTGTTGTCCAACTTGCGTCCAATGTGTTTCACTGATCTCAAGCACCTCTAAATTGTATCTCGTCATTTCTGCAGCAATTTGGAAAACTCCCACATTGTGCGAGCATTCCATGTACCTAAGTAAATGGTTGCTCTGGTTGTCAGAAGGGGCATCGGCCTCGTGACTTCCGAAGAAAGTCGGCTTTCATCATGAGGCGTCATAACTCTTCGACATTAAGATCTTCTGACTCCCAGGGGAGAGTTTAAGTGGTCCGAATAATTTTTTCTGATTGGCGTTTTTTAGCGAGTTAGTTTTCTACGGGATGGGGTCGCTAACCTCATTCCCAACCCTCCTCCTTTATCCGGGCTTGGGACCGGCAGTAGCCCCCCGAAAGGGACTCCAGGCGGAGTTGATCAAGCACTCCACGCCACAATATTTAGTTCTATCACATACTGTCTCGTCGTCAATAGTTCAGCATAATACTGTTTTGGTAGGCCAACGGAATGGTTTAATGAGAAGATCAGTCGATGACACTCAGAAGTAACCTGAAGGGCAACTGAATCTCACAGGTCAAGAAATGGATTAATTTCCTTAAGAATGGATACATATGTATAAGTAGGTATTTGTACATTCTATTCGGTAGCTCAATATGCTTTGTCGCTCACTCTTGTATTCGCGTCGCACATTGTGTATCAGTATCAGAGTCTGGGAACTGCACATCACATCAAATACAACAAAAAATTAAAGAGAATCCTAACTACGGTCAGGTAATAAATACCTAGGTAAGCAAACATGAAACATAACTGAGAGAGTCTTGAATAAAAGTTAAAATAAAAAATAGATCAAAAGCATGATGAATATCGCTTAACAAAACATTTTGAAGAGTTCTTTTGGATCGTATCTGCTCTATTCAAAAGAAAAGTGGTATTTTTATTTCTGAGTTAATTTCACAGCTTTAGTCGTTTATCACGCATCAAGACTAATGGTTTTACTGTAATTGAAATGGTTCAGGCTATCAATAAAAGGTGGATGATGGTATGCAGTGAGATGAGTGCGATGAGTGGCATAATGAAATTTGTAGGAATCTGACACCGGCAGTTACCAAAAATTTTAGCAAACCTGGATTGCATCGTGCTGTCTCAGCAATGCTGCTCGGATGAAAAGAGCTGGCCGTCAGAAAGTTCACAAAGGTGAACGCTGTTAAAATTCACAATATGTTGAGCCACTTGATGATGTTTGCTCTATCGATAGACAAACTGACGTGCAGTCGTTCGGAGCAGTCTCAAAATCGATTGACTCAGGTGAGACAAATAAGAAAGGAGCAATCACAGTGAAGTTTTTCAAGAATAAGACCTCAAGGAAGTAAGTTACTACTTTCCCCGGCCCTCTAAATTGAGGCAGTATGGAAAATCTCACCGTAAAACACCAAAAACAAGTGCGTTGTAAGTTTTTTACAGTGCGATATAGTTTATTGTGGAACAGGTTGCCATTGCCTATCCGTAACTGTGATACATTCACCAGATTCAAAAGGCTAATAACCCTGTTTCTAGACTCTAAACAGCTTCAATCTTTCCTTGAACTCCCGCCCACCAATGAAGCACTTCATTATCGACCGCCTAATTTCTAAACTGAACAAGAATATAACGAACCCGACTATTACTAATATGAATACAACTAAATTACAGGACATATTGTTTGCCGTTTCCTATTATTCATTGTGCATTAATCCAGGCCTAATGCTCCTAACCCTCACTTTCAGTTCCCAAATCCCCCTACTGGTTAAATATACATTTTTCTTCCTAAGTGTCATGTCTTTTTTTTCTATTGCAAGTAGACAGATAACTCAGTAATCTTATGGATGCTGATCTGCTAAGGCCGATCATACGAAGCTCAAAATTGATCAGAAAATCTTGTGAGTTGCTCTGTGTTTTATTTTTCTTACCCTAAAAATTCTACAATTCTATACTCTTTCATATCATTTGATTTGCTACTAGTCCTACTATCTTTAAACCACATATAATCTAACCTGTTTTTTTCTATATTTCACCATTAGTTATCTTCATAGCAGTGTGATATACTAAATGGACATCTAACCCATAATACGAACGCTTTAACTACATGATTTGCTTGTAACATGGAACTAGTAGGGACAGTGTATTCCAACCATGTGCTTTGATTAAAGCAATATGCATACTTACCGCAAACGTAAGAGAGCCTAACATCACAAGAGGGAGGGTGGCGTTACTGACCAGCAAACATGATGGCGGGGAAATAACTTCAATCCACCCATGTCTGTAGGGCAGAACATTTTGTTAAGTCACGGCTCCTTATGGTCTAGTGGAATGTCACGAACTAGTGGTACTGATGCTGATTTATCGTGCAAAATACCTCATTAAACCGTGTTAAGAATGTTGAACTGGTTTAACTTCCTACCCAGTAATCCTATTACAAGCAAACTAGACAATTCGATAAAAAAAACGAAGCCTACTCAAGACCCTATAAAATCTAACAAAGGCTCCAATAGCGTCGACAAAAAAAAGGGAGACAGCCATTTGTGTATCGTAACACTGCTTTTAGCACTATATTTTACAACTACATATTCTCATACTCTCAGTTTCTTTCTGAACCACCTCCATTTGTCAGTTGATTATTCACTCATACCTTG